ATCAGAATTTTCGCGAACCAAAATTTCACAAAATATATCCAAAACACTTCACTCTTATAAGCAAAGATGGATAGTGGCTAGCAGTCCTATTTGAGACTCGTCAGCTGAATGTGCCTGCATCTCAGAGTTGATGTTCACTCTGGGACTCTAACCCAATACCGTTCGCTTCAAACACCATTGCGTTATCTACATAGCTGCTGAGTCCTGATAGCTATCTGTTTATGCAATGGGGCGAAGTTTGAATTTACATGGTCTTGTTTGCTTGTATCTTCCCACTTTTACTTATAAAACTTAAGGCAATATCGAGGCAATCCGTACAGGATGCACATATGCCAATAAGACATTGATCAATTCCAGTCTTGAACAACAATGGGAAGATACAAATAAACAATACCAAGTGAACTTCACGTTTAGTTATATGTATAAAGTATTTGAAGTTGCTATAATTCAATTTGTAAAAAAGGTTGTTTCTGCTTGCGAATCTTTTTCATCATTAACAAAAAAATCAAGACAAAATTACCTAGTGACCGTTATTAGACAATTACAACACTATTGATTATTATATGCTTTCCCTTTAATAAAATCCTTTCTTTTACAACTAATTAATTTCAATAGTGTAATATTTCGAAAAGTTATTGTTATCAAAACCCAAACAACAGCTAAAATTATCTCTAATTTTAAATTTCAAAAAAACCTATACAGGTGAATTAAATATCATCCTATTTCAAAGTCAGTGGCTATCTGGACTCAACAGTTAGCTGGATAATGAGATGAGGTTTAAAGCGAACGGTTCTGCGTTCGAATCCCTTGATGAACAGTATCAATAGGAAGATTCAGAAAACTAATATATATGAATTGAAATCTATATTCGTTATCAAACTTTTTAATCGAAAAACAACAAAAAGATAGAAATTTGCACTTAAAACACAATACGTTTTGATAGAACTTAAAACAAAACTTGTCCATTGAGTTATTACACGAATTAAGATATTTTTCTCAGTTACAACGAACGAAACAGGTTAGTATTTTAAAAGCAATAAGTTATACAAGTATAATGGTTGAGCAGTTTGAGTGGAGTTAGACGTGTATATCATTGGATTTCGCCTCAGTAATGTAGAGGTTGAACGTCCTCATTTGAGAATGAAGATTCAACCCTCTATAGCAGAATCATAGATACACACTGTCAGGGATTCCCATACTGGAATAATACAACTCTCCACTGCCTTCCAGTTTTCAATTGTGATCTAAGATCGATCTGTAATGTAAATACGAAAATAAGGTATATGCAGTAGGCAGGGTTACACAATATTCACTTTTATTTGACCATATATTTCAATTCAGAAAGACAACAGTCATTTTATCAAAGTCATTTTGTATATTTGCTTGTTTGCACCATCATGCAATTTAGGTCATTCCCATTAAAATATAGATATTGAAAGATTGTAAAAGTTCTTGAACATCTATATTCAGGAATTTGGTGAACTTCAGATTTGATTAAGTTAGCTTAGTTAGTTCTTTGAATAAAGTAAACAAAATACGCTATTTGTGAAAGATTTCAAGGGCGATTAAATTCACATTCCGTTTCATTTGTGAGGATATGTAAACCGGGTGAATAGGTTTAGTCCACATAATTCATGGTTGATTGAAGTTTACATGTCAGAATGCATAAAAGTCACGTTAACTGATAAGCGTATGTAGTAAATGACATTAGCAAACATGTAAGATATATGGAAGCTTACTATACAAATTGAACGAGCGTCATAGCATGAAAAAATATACTATTGAGTTATCTTTATAGAAAGTGACTAACTGTTAGACTGAGATGTTAGTTTATCTAAAGGATCCAGCCAGTACCAAGGAATACAAAATAGGACGTCGCCAAGTGGGAATAAGAAAGTACAGTTGGTGAATGAGATGAAAAAGTGTGAAGAAATAAATCTTAATAAAAGTTATAAGCAGTCGCGTGTGGCGAAGTACTTCAAATTCACAAGGCGACCTGCATAAATATCTGGGCTGTATGTTCCTGTCATCTGGATATTTCAACAAGTTATCTGTTCTCTTGTTTGTTTTAACACATCATTATCCCAATTAGTCTCATAACCTATTCAAATGCGTTTATGAAAAGTTTACAACACTTCGCTGTACAAGTTACAAAAGAGTCCAATCAGAAACATTGTGGTTGTTAGCAATATACATCAAAAAGAATATACATCATTCAGATGTCGATTCCTGAACTTCTAACATCTAACTGGCGACCACTAAACATTTATCATCAGGATCGATCAAGAAATAAGAAAAGGAAACTTGTTGAAATACATTATGCTGAGAATTCTATATTGTACCAGAAATATAATATTGAATAAAGCCAATAATAATAATGATAATAATAATAATAAAATTAACTTATCGCAAAGTGATATAGCAGCGATAACAAGATCAATGAAGCAAAATAGTGGAATTCCAGCCCTCCACTCATTTACTAGGTATAAACATTTTATACCTCCCTTTGAACAAATCCATCGAATTTAGTTGCAAAAAGCTAATGTCGATTGATTATAATTTTATAATACTTTTGTGATTCATTGAAACTCAACAACACAATCACGTAAGAAAATATGATCCTAATAAAATAATTGTGCGTCATTTTATTATCTCTTAGTGACTTAGCTTCCTTAATCAATCACCTTGATAACCGTTATTACATAAATCTCAACGGTGTTTTAAATCAAAAGGCAATAAGAAGCGACAAGTAGTTTATTAGCAGATAGCACGAATAACAAAGCTATAAGTACATCCAGCCAATTTGAAACAAAGAGGCGAATTTGTGTATGCAAACAAATACAGAGGTAAATTTATAGTCAAATCGAATAAGATTACAGCAAGGTAAAGCAAAAGCTAATAATAGGATTTGAGTATATATATACATAGGGAAGAGAATAATTCATCAAGCGATATTTAAGTTATCAACATTTTAGCTAGAGTCTGTCATGTGATCAAACGTACACGTTTATACAGATATGATAGTGATCATAATAGTACAAATAAATATGCGAGTTGTTACTGATCGAATATCATTGTCTGTTAAGTTAATAAAAGAGCTTAACCAAAATTTAACCATCATCGAAATTTATTGTAGGAGAGTTACTATAATCTACATATGACTTGATCATAATTATTTTCGGAAATGAATTAGAAACTTGTATATCGAAAACAAAATGGTCCTTTTTTTAAAATTACTAAGCGTTTAAGAACTATTTAGTGTAACAGTATTCACATGAGCAAAATGAGCACCCAGAAACAATGATATAAGATATTTTTCTTTTTGTTGCTCAGACTGAATTTACTTCTATTTAGAACATTTTTATACATTTTGTAATTGTATAAAAAGACGTGTAGTGTCAGTCATTATGTTAAGCCCATATACCTTATTCTAACTTTTGGACAGCCCAATCTATCCATTCTACTTGAGTCATATTTTGACCTTGTCAATTATTCGCTTATCAATCTTGAGTGTTTTTATATGAGCGTATATGTGCGTACACTTGATATCCCGTGTCTCATCACATGGCTGTAGTTTATCTTGTCTGCCTATAAATATTGGGTAACGCCTGGCTAAAAATGAGTTGGCTTACCAAACATCTCCGCTGCGCGTCATTTTGCTTTGTTCTATTACATTCACTTTACATACAAAAGACGAAAAGATGATAGAATGTCTAGTGAGAAAATTCACCACTTACATTTCGTATTATACTGATGTGAAAGACAAGTATCGTATTATAAAATAATATTTAGAAAGCTTTCATACTGTCACTCATTTAAAAGAATGTTTTAAATGATGAAAAATTATAATATACACATACACGTGAGTATACAAACCAAAACAGATCTGTTTCTGTGACCTAACATTTAAATGCTAGAACTTTGAAAAATGTTATCTTTTGTTAACTTCTTGATTAAAAGAAATTTCGGTGAAACTATAATTTATGGACGACCCACGGGCGACCTTAAAGTGACCTTGAGGGTGTCCACCTAATAACTAGGACCAAATGAGTGTTATAAACCAATGTAAGGAATTACAGTTATGATTTACATTTGATGGATAATGTTAGGAATTAGATTTACGATTTTTCATCACGAACTGACATAAGCTAAAATGCCAAGACGTTATTCGGTCAAATGGTTGAGTGAATTTCGCACCAAAACCCAACACTTACTATCCTAAATCTGATTGGTCCGTCCATAAATTATAGTCTCGCCACAATTTCTACCATGTTTAATTAACGTATTTACAAGGTAATCAGTTAAATATAACTTTAGGGCATTTTTTTCTATATTTATGAGGTTATCATTCAACATAAATGCTCACATTCATTTGAATAACTTGTTAAGTCCTAGTTAACAAAATCAATTATCTATCGGTTTGATTAGTACTACATTTAAATGTGTACATTCTAAACGAATTCCAAACTAAAACCAGAAAACACTTGGTATTGTTTGGCTTGTATCTTCCCAATGAGGTTTAAGACTGCAATTAATCAGTCTGTTGTTGGCATATGTGCATACTGTGTGTATGCCTCGATATTGCCTTAATTCACGAGCTTTTTGTAAGCAATAATGGATAGTGGCTACTAGTGGAATCCAGGACGCGCGTTTCATCCTATTTAGCACTCGTCAGCTGGATGTACCTACATCCCAGAATTGATGATCACTCTGGAACTCGAACCCAATACCATTCACTTCAAACGCCATCTAGTTATTCACTCAGCTACTGAGTCCTGATAGCCACTTGCTTGTGAAATGGGGGTGATCAATCTGATCAATCGCAGTCTTAAACCTCAATGGGAAGATACAAGCTAAACAACACCAAGTGAATATAACTTCACCCCATTGCATAAGAAGATGGCTATCAGGACTCAGTAGCTAGGTGGATAATACGATGACGTTTGAAGTGAACGGTACTAGGTTCAAGTCCCAGAGTAAACATCAACTCCAAATAGGACGAAACGCGCGTCCTGGATTCCAATGCTAGCCACTATCCATCATTAAAACCATAATGTTTTTTTTCTGTGAATACTAGTTTTTAATTGTTCTTTTTATCACACCATTTATAGTTAACTCATGTGAATAAAGCAAACATTTGGAAATAATACAATTTTCTTCTCATCACTAAACCAATTTAATAAACTAAACAAACCAATCATGTATATGATCCATTTTCCTTCATCTTTAATCTATATATATATATAACAAAAACAATTTAAACAATGATAAAAGTGTTGTTGACTTGAATTATCAAACCGAAAAAAAATTGGGAATAAAAAACAGCGAAATTTAATGATCGATCGTTTATTTTGTTTTTCATTTGTTCATGGAAACCATTCATTTTATTGAAAATAAAACGCTGAAAAACAGACCATAATAATCATTGGTAAGTGGAATCAATTAAACCTAAATGACAAAAAAGGTGTGAATTAAAAGAGAAAAGAAAAAAAAAGCATGAGATGAATGGGAATTTTTTAAATTGTCACAAGAAAATGGGAACACTATTGATTGTTACTATTGTTGTTATGATTATTATTATTCAATAATAAGAAGGCTGCTATTCATTTATGGATTTAATCATTATAATTGTAAACTATTTATGAATACGTTCAAACAAACAAACAAAAAAAAGGAAAGAAAATAATGAAAACAATCGAAATGTAAATAAATAAGTTCAATCAATTGTGATGAAAATAAATCGTTGGATTGAGAAAAACAATTCTCCACTATACTCAAAATTTCTTAGTTTAAAAATGAAGGCAAAACAGAAAACAACATATCGTTTTACTTAGATATAGTAACAATAAAAAAACAAAAAAAAACAAAACAAAATAGATAAATATCTGTTATATATATATAGATGTGGTTGGAACGTTTAAGCAGTAAGTAGTTAACGATAGTACACAGTATATTTACTGGTTGTTTTCAAATTTTGCTTCTCTTTTTTTTTCTCTTCCAATTTAATTGTAAGAAAGTATATATATTTAGTAATATAAGAATAAAATGGCGCCATTTGTGTATAATGTGCTATTTTGACTCAAGAAAGAAAAAATACGGAAAGATATTTCGATTAAATGCAAATTAAATTAGTTTTACAAGTTCTTCTAGTATACATATAGATATATATGTTCCTCAACAGGAATGAAATAGAAGTGAATAGGTAGGAAAAAAATCAATTAGAGTAATAGTTCATTTCAATTATGATGTAGGCTGAGGAACTATATATAAATATATATGACTAGAAATGTAACGATACATTGTAACTATAAAATGAAGCAAAGAGGAAAACCAATGTTACTCAAGACAAAAGAGTTAAATGAAAATTTTTAACTAGGAACTGACAAATATTCTTACCACAAATAGACATATTTACACATAGATTCATCTTTAACTTATGATTGAGATTATTAATTCCCAGGGAGTATCATCATCAAATTTCTAATTGTTATATTTCAATTAGAATAATATATGATCATAATTTTGGCAATAATTTATTGACACTTAAATATAATTCATATTAAGTTGTATTGTTATCATTTTTCTCAATATTTTTAATTTCATCAGTTATATTGTTGAATGAAAATGGTTTAATTTCAGGAGGACGAGTAGGTGAAGATAATGATGATGGTGATGAACATGATGTTTGTAATTTAGGTGGTAATTTATCTTGTTTATCAATAGAATTTGATTTTAATTGTTTACATTGTATTTCTGCTAATTTATCTTCATCAAATGTGAATGTAGATAAAGAATCAGTGGAATTAGTTGATTTTTCCGCTGTTGAATTACTTTTATTTAATTGAAGACGACGTAATAAATGAAGTACTGCTGTTGCATTATAAGCTTTCTAGATGAAATTTAAATAGAAATGAACAGATATAATATAGAACTAATTCAATAATTAAAGTAGAATTTTCTTTATAAACAGAAAAAACATCATAACTGATGTATTGAATAGAACTAATCAAAATGAATTAATTTTCCATGTAAATGATTTAGGAAATGAAAGCTGTATAAAGTTTTATTGAGAATCATTAGTAAATAAAGGAAGAGATCATCTTCAAATTTGTGAAGACGTTCCAGACATCACTGGTAAGAATTTGCATACTAGACTGTTTTTAAATTTGACCTAATAATAGATATCGTCAATTAGATAAATGGATAAATAATCAACCGAAAGAAGACAGAAATGAGAGAACTCTTTCTACAAACACTATAGTCTCTAGTTTCTAAGCATTACAGAGATCGATATTTAGCCGATGTCTCAGAGAAGCTGTACTAAAATTCAAAAGTCAATGAAGATATCTAAAATGGAATTTGAAAATGTTCTATTTCTTTCCTGTTCACAAACCATAATCAAACCAGAAAAAAAACAATTGCATAAAATAGACTCTGCTATGTTTAGTTATGCTATACAAATAAAATACAATGGAGATTTCTAGGTTGACATCATGAGTCAGTTGAAGCTAGACCATCATGGAAAACCTGAAAGCACTGGACGGCCGTTTCGTCCTAGCATGGGACTCCTCAGCAGTGCGCATCCACGATAACACAGTTCCAGGTAGTTTCACCTTCGAAAGAGGAAATTTTAAAAAAAAAGATATTGCCCCTTTCGCATATATACATTAAACTTTTTAATATAAAGCATTATAATCCATTTGCTCTTAATCTAATCAAATAAGTTTTGATGTTAGTTAGTTTTAGGCAAAGATCAAGTAAGTTGTGAATCTAGATTATCTCTGAAGTAAACAACCAAAAGTATAATGCTGTTTACCTTACTAAAAACCCTTTATAAATAAAGTATGAATATAAATAAACTTAAAATACTTTAAATGTTGTTATTTATCAAAATATTTTATAATAAAAACTGAATACCTACCTTCCATCGTTTTACTGCTAAGAAATTTTTACGTATCTGTTCACTGACAAAAGGATAAAGATCCCTATCAAGTGCTGTATTACTAGCTATCCATGGATGTTCTAAGGCTTGTACACAACTATAGCGTTTTTTTGGATCTTTTTGTAGTAGATTACTAATAAAATCTTTGGCTGAAAAAAAAATTTTAAAAATAAATAAATGGAACGTTAAACTTGTTTTTTACATGAAGTTTGAAAGAAATCTGTTAAACGTTATATGAATTGACAAACTAGTTGGATAGTCAACTTGCTAGCAGACTATGTTTTGAAGATAGAAGTGAGGAGTGAATTAGTCACAGTTAGATGTTATTTTGTGTGATAACAAAATATGGAAATGTTATAACAAAGGTAATGGATTATGCTACGGTTAAAAAAAGAAACTTATGTTCCTAAAACTTAGCTTCAAGAGTGTCGAAACTGACTGGCTTCTTCATTTAACGGAAATACTAAAAGCTTGTCTTTCTGTATAAACGGAAATGCCCAGTATGATATTTAATTGTGGATGAATGCTCGACTTATGTTACCGTTACTCTACCTATCACTTTCCAAGTACATAAATTGAAAAGAAAGAAGTGAAGTGTCCGAACCTCTGAAGACATTCCACAAGAGAATAGATTAGAAATATACAATGTTTTCATTAGTGTAAGCGTTTGTCACTTTCTCAGCAGTGAATATGATACTGACCTTTCAGAATTAATAAAACAGCCCTTTCAAACTTAGTACACTCTGCTGAAACCGTTGTGTATCTGGAGAAATACAGTTAGTAGTCTTGTACAGCCTTGGTGATCTCGTTTAAATGAGTTCGTTAAATAACATATCCTTTCATGATCTTAATCATTACCCTTTGTTTTTTATTTGAGTTAGTCAATTTTCAAGTATTAAGTAAACTATGACACAAATCTTCGAATTGAGAAATTTTGTTTCCATGCACTTTTTATTTCGTTTTTTTTCTTTGAAATATTCACAATTATTTTGTGTTATAGTTTCATATTTGCATCTCAGACTCAATTTTATTCAGGACTTTTCTAATATAAAGTATGTATATTCATCGCATATTTTATTGGTTAATGCTACTGTTTCTAAGTTGAAAACAACTGAAGAGTATCTACACGATGAATGAATTTGTATTATTCAGCTATGATCACTGTACTTTCTTTATTCAGATTTGTTATTTACTTTTGCAATCGTTGGTTAAGTAATATACAACTTGTATATTTTTATTACTTAAAAGCTAGATCCACCTGTTCAACATGTTTGTTACTGACTTTTGAAAGTTTACTAGTGTTTGAACTAGAATTTCTACAATGAATTAAATTCACAATCAATCATTAATAGTGTAAAATATCAGTGAAACTGTGTACTAAATCAGTTTGGTTTTAAACTGACAATAGAATACCATATATTCCAACAAAAATTTCATTAGATAGGATGGTCGTGCAAAAACGATTATCAAAGTTGAGTATAACTTTATTTTACATTGTACATTACTGCTCAGTTAGTTCACATTTTAAATATTTGAATGCTATCTATAGACTGTCTGTATATTCACGCATTTATCTTGGTTTTGAAAAAAATAAACTGCTGGATAAATGATGTTCCGGCGCAAACAAAAAAATATAGGTATGATAAAGGACATACAACGTGTCAAACTACGAAATCTCTGCATGTTTATCAGGCACAATCGCTGTTTTTTGCCTTGATTGAGCAAAAGTTACAGTAATCTGTCTATCTAAAAACTGTAGTCACAATAATTATCCTGACTTTGAACTACTACGGCATTGTTTTCCTTTCTTAGTTCATGTTCATTATTAGTATTTAATGGATTGTAAGTTTAATAAGTCTAATTAGGTATAATAAAAGAAAGGAAAAAAAAAGAAAAATCTGTTTCTAAAATTACCTGAGTCAGATATATTATCCCAATACGGGGAATCAAATTCATATTCTGCCATTCGTATTTGACGAAACAATTCATGATCATTTTCATCATAGAATGGTGGATATCCACATAATCTAACATTTTATAGTTTAATTTCCATAAAGTCAATTTTAATAGAATATAGAAAAGAGATGAACTATTATTAGAATAAAGTTTAATTTGTGTATTTCATTAATATATATATATATATACATATATATTTACATTTATTAAATGTAAACGAGATGGGTACTAAATTATGTCATGATTTGCAATAGTTACACTTTCAATGAATCGCATCATTAACTATGGTATGATAAAAATTCCACTATCTTTTAGAGAGATGTTACTTGCAAAGTGACCTTAACGAAAAATCCATTTTTTTCAAAAATTATTTCAACTGTAAGATTTTCGTAAGCATTGAACTCTATGTATTTTGAGTTAAACACACTGATGATAGTATATTTTATTTACTTAGATGTATCTATGATCAATACAGTGGAACACTAGAATTAAGTATCAACTAGCTTCTTTCCTGATTCATGTTTGATAAATCCGTAAAATTGTATAATCTTAAGAACTATGTTCAAATAATTACGAAAAGCTAATGAAAGTAACAACTACCTATATGAAATGTTGTTAATTACGCAACATGAGATGTAAGATCAATATTTAACCATACACTTTACAGTAAACTGAACAGAATTCTTCCTACAGACTCTTTAGACCGAAAAGGATGTTATACTTCAACAAGAAAGTATAATAAAATTTAAGAGTGACACAAAATGGGTTGCTTGGTTAGGATTTATTTATTTATTCGAACACATAAATATTGGTACAAGAGTGCGCCAAATATATATGCGCCACACAAAACAATGAGAATTTAAAGAGAAAGAAAAAGAAAAACGGTAAGGAGCGTAAAAAAAGAGAGAACGATAACGAACAGATTGGTGTAAGGTAGTGTAATAATAATAGTAATAGTGGGGAAACGGAAAGGTACAACTAGAAGAAATTTTTCAGTTAAGGAAGATACAACCACCTTTTACGAAGAAAGTAAAAGAAGGTTACAGCAGGATCGCCACTGGCTTCTATTCTGAGCCATATCTGATAACGTCTCTAGCCTTTGTGTTGCACCATCTCTTGGACCCTAGCCAGGGTGTTGAGAAGGACCAACACAAGCCAGTCCTTTGCAGCTTTCTTTCATGCCACGACACCATGTCATATACTGACCACCTCTCCGCTTTTTCCAACCAGTCCCAGCATCGGCAAATAATGTACGACGTGGAATTCTCTGAGACATTACAAATTCACTTTATCTCCACGATGCCATTTCTACTTTTCTTGTTGATTATTACTAATTATAATCTATATTTTTTATCAGCTCTCGAATTATTCATATTCACAAATAGTAACTTGTTTCAGTTGTATTTTAAGCTAAGTAGGCGTTGACAGTTTTTTCAATAATGTTTTGTTTATTTGTTTTACATATCAATCAGCTTTCATTATTTATTATTATTCGTAATTTAGTTATTACCGCATTTAAAGTACTTAGTGATAAAGAATAATTATACAATAAGGGATGGATCAGACAGACTAACAATCTTTTTCTGAATCTTAATCAGTTTATGTAGATAGTAAAAGAATTGTTTAATATATTTAATAGCCAATGCTTAAAGTTACAATAATGGAAACATTTTGTTTAATAAAGAGTAATTTCCAAGATTCGGGTACTGTATCAAACACAATTCTTGGTTGAGTTGATGAAGAAGATTTGTAGCTCATGCGGGTGATTTTTATGGAGTTTTGTTCTCTGAGCTGGATGGTTTGGTCGTGGAGCTTTCCATCCACCTGAAGTTTGTGCTGATGATATCGTTTAGAAGAACAATGAAAGCTCCAAGACAAAACCATCCAGCTCAGAGAACAAAACTTCATCAAAAACAATTCTTGTTTACGCAACATTCAAGTTAATGTTTGGCTAATAAGATTTATATAAGTTTTCTTAGGATTTCAATCATATGATTTTCAACTAAAACACTAATAGTTTATTTAAAGAATAATTTGACTTTCAAATTTATTGAAACAAAGGTACCATACATAAAATCTATTACTTTAGATCATATTACTTCATCACATCTAAGTCATTTTGTTAGTATCAAACAGACGAGGAAGTTCTCAGATATTTGTAGTGAAAATAAATTTACATGATGCACCGCTACAGCATCAAACAGTCTAACATTTGAATATTTCAACAACAACAACAACAGAAAAAGAAATTTATTCGCTTACAAAACAACATTCATAATTCCAGACGAAACTATGAGTATCACTAACATTATAAGTTAAATTAAAGGAGATTAGTGTAATGTTAGGCTGGTTATTCAGTCAGTATACATATGTAGCATCAATCATTTATAAATATTATTACGTTTTGTTGAAGCTCACACATTCTACTTCATTGGGGGTCGAAAAATCGGTAACATTAAGAAAATCTATATTTAATATTATAAAAAAATAGTTAATTGACTGATTTCACTATGTTATTTAAATCTCGGAATAATTACAATGTTATAATAATCATCAATTTTTGGTGGGCTTCATTATTTGAATTTCAATAGTTTCTGTCCAATATGTTATAAAAAGGCTTTAGAACACTATTTCATTGCGTACTAAAACTATGTTCAGAAGAGAAGATTGAACAAGAATTAAATATGATTGAAAAGTGTTGGAGATAATGGACACTAATTAAAACTCATCGGTAAGTATGGGAAGACAATAACGAAAGGAATGTAATTTACTATAGGCAAGAAAATGCTAGTCTTTTAACGGCCTGCTTCCAAGGTGGTGAAATAGCCAACATGATTAATTCTAGTTTAAATGCTCCATGGAAGAGGACATATCCGATCGACAAACTAATTTTGCTATATCAAACAAATTGCGACAGACAAAAGTAGACGAATACTCGGCTCATGTTATCTCCAGTTATATTTGCCAATTAACATGTTCGTGCCAAAGCAATTACATTAGAAAAAACAGAAACAAAGTCTCTTTTTCGCGTCTCAGAGCACAATCCACAAAAACTGAGAATAAAAATGCTAGTGTATTTTCAGTATAGGCTTTGCAGATTGTTGAGTTCAGACTCATATCATGAATGGATCAATGTTAGACTGAAGGACCTGGGTTCGAGTCCCGTGTGCAGGATCGTGGATGCGCACTACTGAGGAATTCCACAGTAGGACTAAACGGCCGTCTAGTGCTTCCAGGTCTTTAATGGTGGTCTAACATTGATCCATTCATAATGTATTTTCAACAGCGCTACTCCTCATCATCTGGATAGTAGACGCGAGGTTGGTGTTTTAAAACTGTTCAAAATAATCAATATTCAAAAACAACTCCGAATGTACTACGCTACGTCAAAGCCAATGCAATTAAATCGTTTAAATCAAGCTTATACAATTTAAAGAAAACAGTTGCAAGTCTCTCACTATCCTGGTAGCTTCTATTTTTCATTATTCAATTACGTAACATCTTATTTTATATTCACAAAAACAAATTCCTTTTTGTTCTCAGGTCTTTTTGAGCTTCACTCATTTCTCTCAGTTAATCTATCGAATTTTACGGTTATTATTACGTAACTTTAACGTCAATATCCATTCTCCAGAAATGTATCTCCATGTGTTCTAAAATTTTCTTTTTAAATAACATATATATTCATTCAATTTACAATTTCATAATACTTCCATGTTGACTGTCGTTATTCTACTAATGTCTAACAATATGATACGAAATATGTACATTAGTTAAAAATAACTATTATTATTGTAAATTCAATGGATGAGATCATGAGTCAGTTGAAGCTGGAGCACCATAGAAAACCTGGAAGCACTGGACAGCCATTTTGTCCTAGTATGGGACTTCTCAGCAATGCAAAACCACGATCCCGCCTCGCGAGATTCGAATCCAGGACTTACCAGTCTCGAGCGCAAGCACTTAACCACTAGACCATTGAGCCGGTATCTAACTGTGTTAATGTCTAAGTTCAACTAACTAAGCTCCAACTGACTCATGATCTCAACCATTGTAATTACTATAATATCCGTAAAACCCCTTCTGATATTATTATTGTCTCTAAATTGTAGGCAGCTGACGAATATTCATGAAGTAAATGAAATCAACTTATTCTACTACATCCGTTGTTCTTGCTTTAATCATATTTATCACTAGTAAAAATTACATAAAAGTTATTATCCTGTAACTAAATACAAAAACTCACTAATCTGAAACTAAGAAAAGATTTACTTTTTAGAAACATGAGAATCTATAACTAATAATCATCTCGAAAAAAGTTTTTTAATGCAACTTCGACAATTAAAAAGAACTTACAAAATGTATGCAATCACACCAATAGCCCAACAGTCTACTTCTTTACCATAGCCGGAACTGCCTTCATTAACACTAAGAACTTCAGGAGCTAAACAATAAAAATTTGAGGAAACAGTGTAGGTGTAAATCATTAAGTTATTTTTAATAAATTATGACAAACCCAAAGTTTCTGTACAGTGGGATCTAGGATGAGCGTTCGAATTTATTTGGGACTCATCAACTAGATACACCGGAACTCGTGTTAATCTTCACAAAAAGGAATTTAATCCAGTTTCTTACGCTTTAAACTCAGCGCGCTATACATCTATTTACTGAGTCCAGATAGTCACTGGCTTATTCAATGAGGATTAATTTTTATTCATCTTTTAGGGTTTAAATCTTCCCGTCGTTGATGTTAAGAACTGTAATTTATCAGTCACTGTCACAAGCAGTATATGACTGTCAGCAGTCCTTAACATCAACAACTGGAAGATTCAAACCCTTAGAAATAGATTACGACTAATTTATTATCTTTCTGTGGTTTTATGAATTGTTTCAAGCTAGTTGGAAACACTAAATATTTTGTGATATTTTTTTATAACATACACACATAAATGAACCATGATTTCTGATCGTTTAAATACTCTGGACAGCAGTTTTATGACATAATTGAGTGGTTTCGTATTTTATGTGATTCTTTTTTAATATTCTGTCATTTCAAATTAGGTCATAGTCTAATATTTCTATGATATGAATGGAAGGGTTTTTAGTTGTTTTTGACCTGGAGAAATGAATTGAACAAATAATGGTTTCATGACTTTATATAAAGTGTTTTTCAATAAATATTTAAACAGGAAGTATTCTTGGTAATATCATCAACAGAATCTGCCATTTGAAACTAAAAAATTATAAGCTATCGTTATTAAAGATGGAGAGTTATTACTTTTATATTAGAAGTTATTAAAACAACTTAGTCAATTTTACTAAAATCGGATAGTGGTTAAGAGCGGAGTCCAAGATGAGCATTTCATCCGATTTCAGACAGGCTAACTGAATGTATCTGTAATCCAAAGTTCATGATGACACTGAGAGTAATGAATACCAGCAATAAAGAGACATAACTCATTACAAATTAGTCAATAAACTTAAACTATAACATGAAGTGAATACTTCATATGATTAAGATTTGCCTACTCATAGTATCACATAATAAAAATAGAAGCTAGTATTTGAAAGAAACCCTAAATGTTCAGAATTAGATATGATATATCCCGAAATGCCCCGTTACGACCGAGAGTGGGGATAGTGCGCTCTCCCTCTCAAAATGCTCTCACATGGTCACACGTATATAGCCTCTGCCAGAGAAGTCCTACACACTGCCTTCTCGCACCACGGGTGTTGTTTACAAAAATGAGAAGACGAAAAGCGAATGTCCGGCGCTTTAACCGGATTCCAAACCAGTGGTGCACATGGGCTCCAGTGTCCTGCGGGTACAAATGGCGTATGAACCAGTTTTTGGTCACCGGCTACCATGGGACTGCATCTCCTTACGATGCTCCACTGCCCTGTGGATCAGACCTTCAGGTCGAAGGCTCAGGGAGTTCCCTCCTAAGAAAACCACCTGCTTCGGTTAGGGCACCCGGGCAGTATCACAGTCCTCACACATATCGAATGAGATTTGTGTGGCGCATATGTATTTGGTGCCTCCTTTTACCAATATTTATGTGTTAAAATAAATAAATAAATAAATAAAGATATGATACACCTAATTATTCTTACAAAATCATGCAATGGAGTAGAAAATGAAAAAGAACATATCAACTGTATTGTTTTAAATACTGTATATGGAGAACTGTAATTTCTACATAAATCAAAATTTTGTAACTGAAAATACATTCAATTTTATCAAAAAAGATGAGTGTTTTATGAAACAGAGATAATGAAGTATATTTCAAACATGGATTTAAATAAACTATAGAGAACATAATAGTAATGATAATAATAATGTAGGCCGAGTAAATTGATCATTACAATCATTTACATAAATGAAACACTGATCTCAATTCCCCATTCCAAATATAAGAAATTGTTTTACTTGATCAAATGATAAATCAAAATCTTCATGAGTTATTCATCATTATAAAAATAAATAACTAAGAATTACCATAAATATAGTCAAATCACATGAACAATTCATTCTATAATGTATATATGTAAGAATATTACTGAAAATGTATCTATGTATATAGGCATAAACTAATTCATGCAATGTAATCTTAATGACATAATAAATAATAAATTACTTTATACTGAGTAAAGTAATTTGATAGATATGCTTAATCAACTTGAAAAGTCTTAACTTTAACATAAGGATATATATATATATATGGAAAACTATGCTAATGTTCTTTAGTGAATATTCCTATTTCCTCTAATTGTTAATCATAGTCAATGTTTCATTTCATTACTAATGTATAATAGATCAAAAGGAATAAAATAAAACAAATTAACATTTCAAAAGTATTAATAATTATATATGCAAATTGTATTATAGTAATACAATTATAAATTTCGTTAATTATAGTTTACATGTTAATGATTACTAAATTGTCACTATAAACGACATGAATGTTGTACGCCGATACTTTTTATAGTGTATGAATGTATTGAAGTAATAATCATTTATATGTCAAGATGTTTTTGTGGTAGAAGGTCATAGGTATAATCAAATGGTTATAATTTCTGATAGTTATAGTTTTAGTGGTTCTTCATTCCTCCAGTTTCTTATGCCTAATATCATCGTATAATAAAGAAATTGTGGTAAACTATATATTGTGAATATATTTATATGGAATATTTCTGGCTTTATTTAGTTCTATAAGAGATTTCTAATCTTTTCACAAAGCAGATATTGAATAGTAAACAATACCATGTTATTTAGCCAGTGATGTAATATGGTCATGTAAATCAATGATATAATAAATTCTATTTGTTATTTAGAAACTGTGAGAAAAAGTTCTGAACTTAATTTGTATGTTAATTAATGTTTATCTTCAATTCTTAAGTGAATTTAGTCAGTAACGTTCCAACTGTGCCCAGCAAAGTTGTTTGGTACTTGAAAAAAATCAACAATGATTACTCTCTATTAACCAACTGATGGAGCAGAATTATTTTTTCCCATAAGTTACACATAGGAAAGCATTTATATGTTATGAAAAAAAGAAAAATAATCGAAAGACTCGTTTTCAGCTACTTTCTCTTTACCGATTGAATAATAAAGATTTTTGTAGACAGATTTTGTTTTATATACAACACGTTTAAAACAACAACTATATACTTCATTTATCATCATTTTAGTAGTAAATGTATAATATCAACTCAATTTAGCAATGAAACAATAAATTCTTTTTCATTCTTATTTTGATTGAGATCATAAACCGATTGATGTTAGACCACCGTTGGAAACCTGAAAGCACTGGATGGCCGTTTCATCCTATTATGGGATTCCTCAGCCGTGCGCATCCACGATCCAGCTCGCGGGGTTAGAACACAGGGCCTTCGGTCTCGTGCGCGAACGATTAACCTACTGAACCACTGAGCCGGCATCCGGTGGTGATAGTATCTAACATCTTTTTCATTTTATAAGTTAAAGGTCTAGAAATCACTTTTTTATATAAAGATAACTACTTGATTATCGTCAGAGTTATCAGAAAAAAACATTTACAATCCCTTCAAACTGTGTACTGTCAATAAAAAATTTGGATATTTGTATGCCAAAGGCTTACGTTTAATAAAGTCATTCTAACAACCAACTGAGATTAGGTAAAAAATGATTTCTTGAAGAAACTTTGTTTTTGAATAGTTCAATTGTTCTTTTTATTTCTATAATGTATATAGTTATATTAAAGAAAAAATAAGAACTGTGAAAAAACATCGCATTCCAAATAAGTATTCTGGTTTTGAAGATAATCAACATCATAGATTATATTTATTCAGATAATTATTGAAAACCTGAAGAGAACTAGATAGATATATTATGATAAATTAAAATTACCTATCAACCTATGATCATAAATTGGCAAGAGATTGAGCTCAAGAGTTTCAGGTCTTGTACAGATATTCAAATTATGACAGTCATTGATGTGAAAATCTCAGTAATCACAAATGAAGACAAACTTTCGTCGAATCGGAAGATCACCTAATATATATATAACCATGTAATACATGTATATTGCTATATACAGGTTATTTTCGAAGAGGAAACACTTGTAGTTACCTATCTGAACAATTTACCATCAAATCTTCAATAATTATTCCGTGTTTTACATTAAATGATTCCACTACGTTTTTTTGTTAATTAATGCGTTTTTCTACAGAAAAGATTGTTTCATCGTTAACATACATAAAGAAAGTCTATACACATGTAAATAGATAGATATATAGATAGATTAAATCATATATGAGGAAAGGAACTAATCTAACAACATGCAAAATAAAAACGATAATGTTTTGCTAATAGTTTCATCTTGTCCTTTTCCTTCGATATTTTATTCTTTCTAAGCTTTATAAGGTGAAAAAAGAAATTTTAAGTTTTATCTTGCTTACAAAAGAAAATGTTTATTCACAAAGCATAATATGGTATAAAGAATGAACTAAAAACGAATAACTGAATAAGATGACACAGAAGGGGGTGATAACAGTAAAAATGCTAATAAAATCAAAAGATGGAAAATAAGGAGAAACTCTGATGATAACAACAATAACAAAATATAAAACAAACAAAGTTACTTAACAACTAATAGCAAATGAAGAACTTTTTCTTTTCTTATCTCTCCTTTGCTCTTCTCTTTATTTTGTTACCAATAAACACAAGTAAACAAAAAGACAACAACAGAGAAAAAGATTTTGATCTAATTTAGTCTAAAAATTATCTTAGCAGTTCTACGGGAAAAAAAATTATTTTAAGGAAAAAAAGACACGTGAAGTATTATATCTTGATGAATATTTTCGAATTGAGAAAAAAAAGGACATCGTTTACATGATTTCAATCGATCAATAGAGAAGTTAAGTTTTCATCTGTAGAACTAGAAGATAATGTATATTTGATGTATAAGTTAGCATTTGTTTCATAAAACTAAAACGGAAAATCGACAATCGTTTGATGAAATAGTCAAGTTTAAATTAATTATGGTAAATGAATGATATTAGAGTGTGAACAGTAAGTTGTGAAGCGATAAGCAAAGATAGATATTGACTAGCAGTGGAATCCAGGACGCGTGTTTCGTCCTATTTGGGACTCGTCAGCTGGATGTACCTACATCTCAGAGTTGATGTTCACTCTGAGACCCGAACTCAGTAACATTCACTTCAAACGCCATCGTGTTATCCACTCAGCTACTGAGTCCTGATAGCCACTTGCTTGTGCAATGGGATGAGTTTAAATTCACTTGGTGTTGTTTGGCTTGTATCTTCCCATTGATGTTTTAGGACTGAAATTGATCAGTCTCTTATTGGCATATGTGCATACTCTGCGTATTGCCTTAAATTACAAGCATTATAAGCAAAAATGGATAGTGGCTAGCAGGTAATATCGAGGCAATACGCACAGTATGCACATATGCCAATAAGAGACTGATCAATTTCAGTCTTAAAACATCAGTGGGAAGATTAAAGTAAAACAATATCAAGTGAATTGTAAAGCGATAGTTTATTATTGTTTGTCTACTTTAGGATTACAAAAGCTTGGATAGTAAGTAGCAACTTAAAATGTGAAAAAGAAATAGCTGAGAAATTTGTAAAATATCGTTTTCAAAAAGGTGTTCATATAAATACACATTTTAAGTCTTATGATTAATATGATGCAATGAAACAGTATGAAATGAAACAGGATATTTCGTCATCATATTCAATAATGATCAATTAATTTTTATAAACTATATATTATTGTATCATTATTATAGAACTGAACAGACGACAGTAATAAAGTATGACTGAAGGTGGAAATAATCACATTAATTCCTAATTTACACTAAGTAAAAACTAAACAATGATTTGAAAGAATCAGGAAAACATAGAAAATAAAATGGTAATGATAATGTAAATAAAATAGTGAAATATCAAGTTTATTGATAGGAATAACTATAAAATCGTACACGTTCTGATTAAAAGGAATCTAATGAAATATAATTTCACTTTCTCGACAGATAGTCCTTGGCATCGTTAGGATACTGTATGACGTATGAAGCAGTTACTTATAATCAGTGAGTTTATAAATTACAACTGACTTGGAAGATAATGTTTATGCGATTTCTAATCTTTGTATATTGACAGGGCAGAATCAGAAAATTTCAATTTCTTGTCAATATTACTAACATTGCAATGTATAGTTAATTATACTTGCCACCATAAGTAGCATACATCACACTAGACTGAATATAAGGAAGTAAACAGAATCGTAAGATTTTCTGGTTGCTATGTCCGGACCAAGAATAAGTGAATAGTAACCGCTAGGATCTATTTGTGGGCTACTATTATATATATTCTTATTGTATAACCGATAAGAAACTACATTATATGTTTATTCATATTCCTTTTATTATGAGCTTTTATCTGACCTATCGACTATCATTACACGATTTACTATTCTTAAAATATTCCCAATTTATTAGTAACAGTCTCGCACAATCACAGACACTTTTTGGCTTTATCGTGTATAATTGTTATTTTCTATTTTATGGAATAATGCGGACTGGTTTGTTTTTATATAAACCAAGTATGTCTGAAATGTATTATTTATACAGCTATGTTCTGGATTCAACAGGCAGGGCTAGACGACAAGGACCAGTAAGGACACTAGGCCCCTCGTACCGGCCAACATGTCTTTGATTTGGCACAGTGCTAAGATTGTATAAGTTGTGTTCCGATTGGCGAATTGATCACGTGATAGTTAACAGGCCACAAGACGTAGCGTTGGTTCTTTCTAGAGAGGTCACTATTTGGTGAAAACTAGGTGATTGGGGGCATCTTGGGGAAAACCCTGAACCTAAACGCCACCCTGGTTAGGATCCCAGTAAAGTGAACCTGAAGTTTCTAGGACCTTGATGCTTCCAGTGTAATTCGAACTATCGTCACAGTGTGGCATCGCTACTGGCCTGTTCAGACCATATATGATCTATGTATATTGTAGTGTCGGTTATTATGTTAAGCCCATATAACTTATTCTGGCTTTCGGACAGGCCAATCTATTCATTTTACTTGAGTTACATTCTGACCTTGTTAATTATTCTCTTATTCAATCTTAACTTTCTTTATATGAGTGCATATGTATGTGCATATTTCTTATCCCATTACTCATCACATGTCTGTAACCTATTTTCATGTGACTATAAATCTTGATTAATGCTTGACTAAATGGAGTTGGCTCACACGCCTTCTCCACCACGCGTTATTTTTGCTTCGCTCTCCTCTTCGCATAGTTTCCCCGTTTGTTTGTCTGGGTCAACGATTACACAAAATATATGTATACAAAAGTCCATTCTCGTTATTTGACTTATTTAATTCTGTTATTGACTAACGCGATTTAAGTAAATGATTACATATGAGGATAGGCGACATATACAATTCAATATCATTCATGCGATCGACTTGGAATCAGATCCCGAGCTACTAAAGTGAAGAGCCCGTCAACAAACATTGTCTGATCTAAATGACGACAAAATAAAGGGCCCCACAATATAGTGTGATAAATAATCAGGCCAACGAGACGATGAAACTAGCAAATTATTTTACAGATATCGTTATTGCCCCGCAAAAGAAGTGAAGAAATGCAATCTCACAAATAAAACAATTTAAGAACAGTTAATTATAACAAAACACTTGAATAAAATCTAGAATATCAATAAAAATAGTCGAGTGAATGAAGTGAGTGACTACTAAATTAAGTAGTTTTGTGAATACAGAAAAACAGAAAACTATACTCCAATTCATAAATAATTAAATCTGTTATTTAAGTATTAAAAAATTGTAGAATTATTTAGCGTTTTATCCGAAACAATAGCTTAAAGTGGGTTTTACGCCGTTATTTATTTATTTATTTGTTTGAACACAAAAATATTAGTACAAAGGGGCACCGAATACATATGCGCCACACAAGTCACTCGATTTGTTTGTGGGCTGTGATACTACCCGAATGCCCAAATCGAACAAGTTGGTTTTCTTAGGGGACCACACCCAGAGCCTTCGGCTTAACGGTCTGACCCATAAGGCAGTGGAACCACATTCGCTTTTCGTCTACACAATTTCGAAAACAACATTAATGCCGCGAGAAGGCAGTGAGTACGACTTCTCTGTTAGTGGCTATATACATGTGGCCATGTTAGAGCATTTGGTGGAGAGCTGGCTCTCCTCACCCTCGACCCAACCAGGGCATTTACGGGCGTTTTACGACTTAAAAATTTATCTTTCAACAAAAGTCTAACAAATATTTATGAAATCAACCTTTTTTCATTACCCTCGTGCATTTTACGAGTAGCCTAATGTCAAACAATAACACGAAGTTATTAACAACACCTGACTTGCTTCAGATAAAGGACTTTACTAGTTCAAATCAGTTGAGTAGAAATGTAGTACACTGTAACACTAAACATTAAAAAAACTTAAGTATGAAACTGAATAGTGTAGGTCTATTGAGTACTAATTTTTTTAAAGTGTATGCAGGCACCTTAGGAACAGCTATTGATTATAGTACATAATTTACCAATAAACACAACATAAATTATGTCCTCAAACTATGATTTGTTTGTAACGACTGCAAATCGACGGAATATGAACGATATATGCAAATTAACATTATAGTTTAATGATAATTGGCATAATCAGAAAAGAAACACTTTCAAGCGACATCAATATGATGTAGATTGGATTTACTAGATGAGATCTTTAAGAAACTGGTTCAAACAAATTAGCGATATATTGTTCTGTGAGTAAAGCAAGCAAAAAAAACGATAAATGTATATCCAATGAAGAAGATACAATTAACTGTATCATTTTACTTTAATAATCACAATACAAGTATAATTATAAATAAATCAAAAGATAAATATTATATTCAAAGTTTTCTTAAATGAATCAACTTACCAACATAACCTGGTGTACCACAGGCTGTAGCCATGATGGACTCATTGTTTTCTATTTTTGACAAGCCAAAATCACTCACCATTATTTTACTATCATCAGCTGGACTAAAGTAGAGTAGATTTTCCGGCTAAATGATTAGTAATATACCATGAAAAAGAAAAAAATGAACAGTTAGCATTATAGCTTCATTACAGCGATCAATATCACAGTGTTAAAGTTACTAATCAGAATTCTAGTTATAACTTTTATTTATACTGAGGTTACATTTCTTTTCTATCCTAGTGTCCCAGACTTGACCGATGACACGTCTGACCTGTACCGTTAACCTTGAACCGACATAAATTATGCTCCTATTTGTCTAAAATACTCCAACCTTTATCTGCCCTTTACGTTGAGTTCAAAGAGGAATCAAAAACTAGTTTCTATTACATTAAATTTGACCACGGCTCAAAACGCATGCAATAATATGCATAAAATGCTTAACCACATAGCACACCAAATAATAAATCATACTTTAACACACAATCATATCATGAATGATAGAGAAGGAAACAACAGTACATAATTAATTAGCAATAACTAAGAAACACTAAAACGCATAACAATGATTAATCTATCGTAAGCTTAACACAAGGGGAATATAGAAACGCAACAATACAGTTATCTACAACAACAAAATAATAGTCCAGAAAATAGTCGCGTAACTTTAAACTTTTCCAATATTCGTTTCGTCATAACAATTAGTTAATTGTAATTTTATCAGCTTGCAAACAAAATTAAAATAGATTTGCATTGACAATCATATTTTTCTTATAAAACAATAGAAAACACGTGGATAAAATGAAGTTATTGTAAAATAACTCAACTGGTAAATGATTTAGTTGGTTGATTACATCATTCATTTTACAATGTAAACAAAATCAAACAGTGTTTTTAATAAATATTATCTCATCTGACTAAGGAATAATCGATGTTATGGTGAGATATTTTTCACTACTCGATGAATCCTATTAGATCAACTTGTTGTTATAGATATGTCTTGAGGTATATTTACATAATTTGGATGTAGACAAACAGTATTATAATATAATGGATTTATTTCACTTTTCAAGGACTTTAGAAAACCTTACATAAATAATAAAATAGATGTGTAAACACTTCAAATATGATTCCAAAACGCCAGTCTTTATTTTATTCAGTGGCTACATATAAGAGCAGTTGCTACTATACAGTCACTTTATGATGGAGTACGTTTTATACTTGAATTTCAAATCAGTAGTTGTGTTAAGAGAGTTTGCATATTATTGATACTGTAGTGAACGAGAACACAAGTGGAGACAATCGAATGTATATGAATACAAGATTACAGAATCTCTTGGTAAAATCTGAAAATCACACAGTAAATACTTAATTTGCAAAATAACAATAAATTGTCTCAAACTTGATTGTTCCTTAGCAAATGTTAATCAATCGTCTCAGACTTCACTGTTCCTTCATTTCCATACCAATCGCTTTCTGTTCCCGTTTTTTCCTTCTCGACCTTCTGCTGCCAGACATTCTATTTCTGAATAGCGTCAGGACATTAACACCGTTGGATGCCGGCTCAGTAGTCCAGTGGTTGAGCGCCCGAGCGCGAGAATGATAGGTCCTGTGTTCTAATCCCACGAGGCGGGACCGTGGGCGCACACTGCTGAAAAGTCCCACAACTGGACGAAACGCCAGTCCAGTGCCTCCAGGCTTCCTATGGTGGTCTAGCTTTAATTGGCTCATGAATTCAACTATTAAATTACTATAATATCCACAAAACCGTTCCCTGATTATACTACTTATGTCGATATAAGTAGCACACTTTACAATACAATGGATAGAACAGCAAATTTTTATCACACGACCCTGATTAACATTTTTGATCAGTTATGATTTATCTATTGCCCAGGACATAGTTCGATGGAGAATCGTGGTGAGCAGCCTATGCTCCTCCACGAGGGGTAACAGGCGTAAGGAAATAAGTAATCGTTTTCTTATCTGTTACACCATACATTAGTGCCTGATTATTTCCCATATAAATAGCATATTTCACTTTTAGTTAGTTGTTCTGTATCAATTCGTTTATCAATATTTTTACCCACTTGAAAACTGAAATTGTGACAACTTCCAAACTACACCTGAATTGAAGTTGGTTACGTTGTGTTTTTTTTCATGGAAAACTTATCATTGAACTATTATCCAAGTTACAACAATATTGAGTTTAAAACTTCATAAGTTACCCTAATTGTTTATTGTTTTTTTTTTTGAAAAAAAAGAGAGGACATGATCGATAATCGATTCTGTCACGTAATTTTGATCCATTCCGTATTCTTCTTTTTTTTAATATTCTAATCATTTTCACTTTTATTAGAAATAATTATTGCTTTATGGATGATAGCGTGTCAGTTATTCAGTACTCATTTTCCATTCAACTATTCAACATATATACAAATATATATACATAAATTGATAGGGTTTATTTATCAAAGTTATTGACAAAAATGTGACCTAATGTTTCTTTTATTATAGTTATTTTCATTGTAATTTATGACCTTAAATTTAATAATATTTTATTTAGTTAAAAGCTTTTATTTTTACTTCCTTAACATGTTCTACATACTGGTACTTCTTCATTGGTTTCCAGTCAATTTAATTACAGGAAACATGGAATATTGACTGAATAGTTGAATGATAGTATGCTAATCATGTAAGATTTGAATATTCTAAATTTTCATAAGGGGTTTTGTGGAGGTTTTAGAAATTTCACTGATTCAAATCATGAGTCAATTGAAGCTAGACCACCATGGAAAACCTGGAAGCACTGGACGGCCGTTTCGTCCTAGTATGGGACTCCTCAGCAATGCGCATCCTATATTTGTTCTCATGTGGAATCGTAAGGAGGGTGTAATTTGTGAAATATTTTTCTTTGTTTTTATTAGTTAAATTATGGTAACAAAAACTTTTCTTTAAACTGGGAAAAATTCTTTACAAATCACCCTACTAAATATTAATGTTTCGGTTATTAAAATGAACAGTTTGACATTTCAGTTTGAACAAGATGAAAATTATCATTGAAATCCGGAACCAACCAATGTTAGATCACAATTGAAAACCTTGAAGCATTGGATGGCCGTGTAGTCCTGGTGTAGGATGCGCACTGCTGAGGAGTCCCACACTAGAATAAAAAGGCGGTTCAGTGCTTCCAGCTTTTCAATGGTGATCGATCGGTTCATTATTTCAATGGAATTCAATGATTTCCAGAACCTCAAACTGAAAACTAATTGTCTGATTGCATTGTTGCGTATTATTATTAGATTTTATTAATCAATATAAATGATCTGAACATATAAATAAATGATTCACTTGTCTAACAGCTACATGTAAAGAGTTTTAATGAACAAAAGAATAAATGTAACCTACATTGTTGTTTTATTGTTTCCTGTTTTTGAAAGAAAATGAATTAAGTTCACTTTAATAAGTTTGTCATTCTATTCAAAGACTGAGCATGTTTACTAATCCATACTAAACTCTTATAAAGAAAGTAAACTATGAGTACAAAACTATTTATTTGTACAGTATTCGAGAAGTGGTACAGTCTAATTGGTAAAAAAAGGGGTTTTTATCCGTATACACGTATATCAATGTTGCATCAGTTTCCAGTGAAAATTAGGTTTGGAAAAATTTGTTTAAATTTTTCTGTAGTTAATTGTGTCTTCATTAATGAATGGTTTACAGTGGAAAAAGAACATGATAAATCAATTAATTGAGTTTCGGAAAAAGATTCAACTGACAAATAACAAAATAGTTAATTAGTAATAGTTTACAAAACTTTTGTATCATAGTGCATGAGTCCTATGGAAAAAAATTAACTATCAGAGTAGCAAATACAACTTTATTAATGTGTCAGTAAAGATAGGTTCGTAGACAGAGTGAGATATGAAGCATTACTCTGAATTTTGAAAATCTTACATTAAACCGGTCTTTTATTAAAACTAAGTAGTTAAATATTGTTAGTGAATAGTACATGCATAAATAATGAAAGTAAATTAGGTTATACGATAGTCAGTCAGCTACAACGTAGGACCAGGCACGTATATGCATCGGTCCAAGTTGCCATACCTCATTAACACAACAAGATGGACACCGGACTCACAAAAGTAGTTAATTCACTGGTGGTAATATATAAAAGAAAGATTGCATATAAGAATATAGTACAGGAAGAAAGAATTAGTTCGTAGAAAGAAAGATATGAAGCGATTTTAATCTCTTAGTTTAAGGAAAGACAGAGAGTGTATACATCGACGCCATTGGTAAACCGAAATCAAAGAAGATACTAGTATTCATGTAATCAATAAATTAATTTTAATTGATTTAGTCTATGACCTGAATAACATAATCAATACACACAATTCTGTTGGTAATCTACGTTGTTTACTACGAGATGCACTTTCTATACAGTAGAGTGGTAATTTCATGGTTAAAGTATTCGTATCTTATTTTCGAACCTTCACAAGACTTATTTTAATTTCATCAGACGGGTAATATTACTAGCCTTCACACAACCAACGCTGCCTAGTGAACAAACTTGTACTTAATAAATAAGCTACATTAAATTTTAACGTAGTAAATGACATCGGTGTTGAACGTAACAACCTTAAGGTTTTTAAGTCACTTTCAAGGCTTTTGGTAATTTTAAGGATATTAGAAATGCAAATTCGATCTATGGAAACACATGCTTATTTGTCGTCATGGCTGTGGTGAATGTAGTGGTATTTAAATCAAAACGGTTATATATTTTTAAGTCTCGTTTCCCATTTTATCGGTGTGTCAAAAAGTATTGCTAGGTAACATAAACACTTTAGATGTGGTACCCGCCATGATTATGACACTACATTTCCTGTGCATATTTACTACTAAATGGTATTTAATAAATTTGACCATAAACTGCAGCAACTGGTAAACTTTATAAGAAAGATGAAAATACGTTTATGAGAGACAACGTTTATAAGGAAACAGTATATTTTGTCGGAAAGGGTTTATGAAGATTGTCGAACGTCTATGGTTTACAGCACAAACCGATCTGACATGAATGCGTACCGC